TGGAGCTCAGAGCTCTCATCACCCTCATCATCAAGATGGAGATGATAGTGGCTGTCTCATAAGTTCAGGGTTTTTTGTTGTTGTTTGTTTTGTTTTTTTGAGACAGGGTCTCCTTCTGTCACCCAGGCTGGAGTGCAGTGGCATCATCATATCTCACTGCAGCCTCCGACTCCTGGGCTCAAGTGATGCTCCTGCCTCAGCCTCCAGAGTAGCTGGGACTACAGGTGCACGCCACGATGCCGGCTAATTTTTCTGTATTAGTAGAGACAGGGTCTCACTCTTGCTCTGGCTGGTCTTGAACTCCTAACCTCAAGTGATCCTCCTGCCTCAGCCTCCCAAAGTGTTAGGATTGCACAAAATGCTTAGCTCACTTCCTGTCTAGCCCTCCTGTCCTTGGGTCAGACTTGCAGCCTCTTGATGTCTGTGCTTAGGTGGAGCTCCCGGTCCCCAAGCTCTCCCCAGGGAGCTTCTCAAGCACATAGCAGGTGCCTCCCACACCTCCCTGGGAGTCAGGGCATGAAGTCCGGCTGCCCACACAGCCACCCTGATGTGCCATGTCCCCACCTCCTGAGCTCCTCCTGCCCTCTGCCCACCCCCCTTGATGGCAAATTGGGCTCTCATGTCATTTCTACCAGCTGTGTCCTGTGACACCCCATGTGCCCCACCCAAGCATCACCTCAACGCTGTGAGATGCTTTGGACCCCAGGATGGGGCCTGCCTGCTTCATCTCAGAGTCCTGGGCTCAGGCCAGGCCCCACGAGGGAGACGCAGGGAAGGGGCAGGGAGGAGGGCCCAGCGCTGGCCCCAGCGCCTAGCACCTGTCTGTCCAAGCAGGAAAGAAGGGACAAAAGGCATCTGGGCCGTGTGGCAGGCAGGGGTGGGGTGGGGCTGGGGCAGCTCCAGCACTGACTGGCCAACCCTGATGGGGATGGGTTTCCTGGTCTGCTCCTATCTCCCTGGGGCAGTGCTCAGAGATGCTCATTTCAGCCCAGTGTGTCTGGGTCTTGGCCAGGATGAGGGGTGGGTGACCTTGGAGGAGGGGAGCCTGGTGCCTCCTGCCCTGGTCCTACCTGAGCTGCAGGTTCCTCATGAAGTCCTCCATGGTCACTTGGTCCAAAAGCACAAAGTCAGGTTTGCCGTACTCCGGGCCTTCCTCATCCTCCATCCTGCTGGCTGGAAACACCCAGGCCAGGTTGCCTCACCTTCCTGTGCCGGCCGGCCGGCAGGAGGGTGGAGGGGAGGGCAGGGCCAGGGGAGGCCCAGCCCCTGCCAGCCTCCTGCAGTGCTGCAGTAAAGTAGGAAGTGGGTTCTGGCCCTGGGAGGGGCTGCCTTCCCCACTTGCTGTTCCCTCCCCCTTGAGGTGCTCTGAGCCCTGCTTCCTGTCCCTGTGCCCCACTGCTGGCCACAGACCGTTAGGTCTGACCTGCTTGCATACCAGGGCCAAGGCACCAGACCCTGGGTCCTCCAGCTCTGGAGGGTTCTTTGATGGCCTCCTTCGGAAGCTCCCATCTACCCCAGGCAGTAGACAAGACTCCGTGGGTTGGTTTCCAACTCTGGCAGCACGTTAGAGTCACCTGTGGGACTTTAAAGAAAGATTTCTTGACATGGTCTTGGCCACCCAGCTGTATGTGTCTGTCAACTCAGAACTGAACACTAGACGCATTTCACTGTGTGTGTCTATTGTACTTTAATGCAAAAATATAAAAAGATCCTAATGCCCAGGCCTCTGGAGCGGGGAACCGGCAACAGCATTCTTTGAAGCACGTGCAGGCCTCACTGGGGCATAAATGGGAAAAGCTTCTTGTCTGGCCCCCACCCCCGGAGGGACGGGGACCCCTAGAGCGTCTTCTGGGTGGAGCCAGCCTGCAGGGGAACCCCATCCCTGAACTGTCCTCTGCCCTGTACTTTCATCTGGCAAACCCTCCACGGACAGTCCTTACAGCTCTGAGAGGTGCCTGGTGCCTGCTGTCGTGCTTTGTAGATGAGGCAGCACATTTAGGAGGTAGCCCAAGTGGCTGGGTTTCTCTCCAGACACAGCACCCCTGACACGGTGAGTGCCTCCAGGCAGGCGGCGGCAGTTCTCTCACCCTCTGAGCAGATGGGGGCATCTCTCGTATCCTCCAAAGCAGACTGGGGAAAGATCTCTCTCATCCCAGGGCAGACTAGGACAGCCCTGTCTCATCCTCTAGGAAAACTGGGACAGGATTCTCTCATCCTTCAAGCTGACGAGGGGCAGTTCTCTTTCAACCCTTCCTCACACAGGGAGGTCAGAAGGGCCGGTTCCAGTATTCCCAAACTTGAGTCACTCCCCTGCCACCTTTGGGATTCGTTGTACTCACAAGCACTAGTTTAGCTATTATCTTTCAAACATCTCTTTTTAAACTTTGAAATAATTGTTTGATATGGAGTTAAGGTTGTTTTCTTTCTCTGAAAACTAATGCATTCCTGATAAAATTGAAAGTGCTTATCCAGTACCCGATAAAACTAAGTCATGCACCATCCAGTGATAAGGGGCCCTTGGTCCAACACATCCCCAGTTTTCTGGCTCCACCCTCAGCCGGGCCTGAGGCCCCTCCTGGGCACACTTGGGTCAAGTGTAATCCTTCTAAGCTCTGACAAGGGAGGTGCCCTCACTGTCCCCAGCCTCTTGGGCTGGGACTTTTGAAGGGTTTCCCAAACCTAAGTTACTCACATTCTTGCAGGCTCATCTCCCTTTTCTTAGTTTCACTTCCCCAAACCCCAGGGAGTTGAGCAGACCCGTGGGTTTTGTGATTTAAAGGAACCAACAGAACCAACATGGCTGTCCCAGTAAAACCTTAGGGGTACTGAAATCTTAACTCTATGAAATGTTCACCTGTCACAAAATAGTATTCTTTTGGGTTTTTCCCCCAAACCACTTAAAAATGTCAAGACCATTTATAGCGCAGAGATTTGGCCGTGGGCAGAGTTTGCCAGGCCTGCCTTTGTAGGCTGGTGCTGTGTGACCCTTGGCATAACCGCAGTCGTGACTAGGCCTCCTCCCAGCTTGCAGTTTGGCCTGCATTGCCTCATCCGATTCTCGTCACCCAGGCCGGAGCTGCCGCTAGTCTCACTTTGCATCTATTGAAACCGAGGCCCAGAGATGACATCACACCAAAGGAAGTTCCCTCTTGGCTCTGGACAGACCTCTGGGCCCTTCCAGCACTGTATTTAGTGTCTCCCCAGACCCCGGGGAAAGCCCAGATGGTCAGTCTCAGCCTGGTTCTCAGCAGGCAGGACAAGCGACAGCTCTGAGCTGCAGCTCTCCCGGGGCACGCTCCTTACAGGGTCTGACTAGCAGGGCACAGTAAACGTGGTAGAGCAGGTAGATGAACAAAAGCCGGGGCCCCTGGAGCAACAGCAGTGAGGGGCCACCACCAATGCTACCAACTGGTGCCTCGTCGGGGGCTGAGGAAACTCTCCTGGCCCTGGTGGCAGTTTCACTCATTATCTCAGATCCATCAGTTCCAAGATGCCTCCCTCCACCAGGGCCCCTGCAGCCCCGCCTATGGTCCCCTTGCCTTGACCTTACAGGCTCACTGTGCTGCTGCTGACCTCTGTGGCAAATCCCTAGTCCCAAGACACTGCCCCTTTTCAGGTTTTCAGCGCCCTTACACAACTGCACCACAATTTAGGATTTGTATTGAAAATTTATTTTTACCTCATCGAAGGATATACTGTTAGGCTGGTTGTTGTAGGGGAATGGCTCCAAGGCATTCTGGAAATGCACAGACTCACAGACCACACAGCCCACCTGAGCCTTTTGAGCCTCCTGGGACTGAGCGGAGGCTGGTGAGGTGCTGCCACCCTGCCATCCCCCCCACAGCTATCAGGAGTTGCTATCTCTGGGGTTCTGAGGAAATGTGTCTTCCTGACCACACCCTTGGGGTGTAGCTGCAGACTAGAAAATCCTGCTCACTGCTGTCTAGAATCGGCTCCTCAGTTAAAGGAGGTACTGTACCTCTGGTTGCAGGCCCTTTAGTTTTGGTGTCATCCTTTTTGGTGTATGGGACAAGGACCTGAGGAGCTGGCACCTTTGTATACTTTTCCATTCACTAGTCAACACAAGTTGAATGTAAAAGTCACTTTTTATCTTTTTTTTTTTTTTTTTTGAGAGTCTCACTCTGTCGCTCCTGCTAAAGTACAGTGGTGTGATCATAGCTCACAGCAACCTCAAACTCCCGGGCTCGAACGATCCTCTTGCCTCAGCCTCCCAAGTAGCTGAGACTACAGGTGCACACCAACACGCCTAGTTAATTTTTTCTATTTTAGTACAGACGGGGTCTCGCTCTTGCTCAGGCTGGTCTCCAACTTCTGAGCTCAAGTGATCCTCCTGCCTCAGTCTCCCGAAGTGCTAGGATTACAGGTGTGAGCCACCACGCCTTCGCCTTGCTCAGTCAACATTCCATGACCATGTCACCAACATTAAACTAGAGAAACAAGTCCTGTGGGCTCAACGGTGCCTGGTGACCATTATTTTTCAAATGAAATTGGAGATATGTGGGGCATAACACAAATACTAAGGCTATTACTTCCTGTAATTTGGTTTCAATATTTCAATACTTAGGTGAGTACCTAGGAGTATCTGAAAAGACAAGGGTATTCATCGAGCCAATGGGTGAACACGACTGGAACCCACTCCGGGATCTCACGATAAAGCTCCTGCTGACAGTGCCTTTGTGCCCGTTGCTCCCACTGCAGAATCCAGCTGGTTAGCCTTGGCACTGTGTTAAATACCATCACCACATACCACCATCAGTTGAAATAGGTGGCACGTGCACACGAGGTGATCACCAAGTTCCAAGCGGCCATCTATAAGGCATGAGCATTGAGAATGGCGAAATACCTAGGGCTCCCTCAGACTTAGCTAACAACTCCTGCAAGAAGGGGTGGAGTCTTCTTTATCTTTGCATGTAGCATATGAAAAAGAAGAGGCAGAACTGAATCACATTTAAAACCATTATTTATTAAATATGCCTTGTTTTTCATTCAGTAGATGCCAGAAGGGCCTGGATCTTGATGCACAGCAAGGCTCTTCATTCCGGAAGCAGAGAGCTTGGCACCCAAACCTGGGGTCAGAGAATGTCTGTCAGACCTGCAGCCCAAACCCTGAGCCACTCACACCCCATCGAGGGCCAAGAACCAGAATTTCCCAACTCCTCCTAGAAGGGAGGTATGTGAGGCTTCAAACCTGCTCAGATAATTAAGGTTTTGGGTTCAAATTCTGCTCCGCTCCTCATTAGGTGTATCAACATGGGCAAGCCTCGTTCTCAGTATCCACATCCTCATCTGTAAAAATGAGATTAGAAACACTGCAGAGGCCTGTTGTGAAAAATTTAGTGACATAATTCACATAACTGTGGATTGTTATAAATGCCTATTGCCACAACAGATGGAACTGAACCCAACTTCCTAAATCCTGAACCCACTCCCACTGAGCTGAGAGGCCTGTGACCAACCTTAGTGGCAGCACAAGCCCCTTCCAGGCTGGCACACCACTAACCTTAGGATATTCTGGGGAAAAGGATACAGGTCGAATACAAACCACACAGGCAGTCCAATATCACCCCAAGAATTAGGGCATACAAACCCAGACATTAAAAAACTGTTTGTTCCAAAATAGTCTTGTGACTATTGTGAGCTTAAAGACAATTAACCTTTCTGTGATTCAGTAACTTTACAATTTCTGGGACTTATAATATGGGAGGATCAGAATAGGTTGATAGGCTTTGAACTTTTTCTTGGCTAGGTGACTTAAGGAAAACTGACAAATAAAACAGAAGTGAAGTGACTTGGTTGGCCAGACCCATCCTGCACTTACCCCTGGAACAGGTTCCATGGAACAACCTGGCAGCCACTGAAGAAATCATCTCTCAGGTCTCCTCTAGCTCTTGTGTCCTGGGATTGCTGAAATACTGACAGATGGTAGACACCTCTGCGCCACGTGCTGGGGCAAGGAAGGATACAAAGCGGAGCCACTAGGGGGAGGTGGCTGTCAGGAACTGGGAAGGTCTGAGCTGCCCCCTCTGCAGCTAACAAGGTAGTTTGCCAGGTTCATGGACGCTGATAGAAAACACAGAATTCCTTGATTAGAGACAAAGGACAATGAATTATTCAATTCACAGCAATAGCAATAGCAAGAACATTAGCATTTTCTACCACACTCTCAAAGCCTCAGTCCCTACACGGCGACACAAAGGGAGTCAGGAGGCGCCTGCACGTGCAGTGGGCCATGTTACAGGAAAGGCACCCCGAGGGCAGGACTCCCAGTCTTTCACAGTGGACAGCAAGAATGACTGCTCTCTGCTCTGCAGGAAGGCACTGCCTCTTACATCCATGGCTGTCTGTCGCACAAACATCCTTTAAAAGGTAATATGGAAAAGGCAACCAGTGCCTGACTCAGAAGACTGCAGAGACATGAGACTCACGGAGAAGATCTTCCAACAGCAGGCCCCAGGTGTTCCGTGACTGTTCCTGGACTGAAGCGACAGTCAGCTGGAAGCCTCTACCGTCAAGAGAGAAGGCGACCCTACCACCCAGAGGAACACAGGAGCTGTGCCGCTTGAGCGATGACCAAGCTGGCAACACTCTTCCAACCCAAACTTCCCGACTTCTTCTAGATTCTATGCAGGCTTCCAGGCAGGGGATCTCAGAATAGAGCACAGGCTGCAGGGATAGAGAGGCCTGGTGTCAAACTCCATCTGCCAGTTTCTGGTTGGACAACCCTGGACACATAATTCTGATCTTGGGCCCTTCATCTATACTGAATCTGAAACTACCTCATGGGGATGTCTGAAAATTTTAACCTAGTTGAGGAATTAAGAGGTTTGGCCCAAAACAGGTGTTCAACCAACATTAGTGCCCTCCCCTCCTGTGACCAAAGCTGCAAGGACCTCACCTTCTGTTAGCTCCCAGGGCATTCAGTCCCTCTGCAGAACTGAGCCTTTGGTTCGCTTTGCTTTTCCTTGTAATTGTAAATATCCTGTCCCATCAGTGTCTCAGGGCAGAGCTCTTCCCTGCTAATCCTTTCTACTCTGGCTCAACTCCGACCTTTACCACTCTGAGCTTCACTTTCAATTTTTATAAAGCCTTTGCTTTAAGAATATAATGAAATAAAATTTGTACTGAGCCTCGAGCATAGTAAACACTTAACGACACCCTTCGCTTTTTACATCAGCACTGTCCAAACCAACTTCTGCACACAGAAATGTTCTTTAATCGGCACAGTCCAATATGGTAACCACATGTGGCTACTGAGCACTAGAAATGTGGCTAGTGTGAATGAAAAGCTGAATTTTAAATGTAATTTACACCACGTGGCTGCCACATTACACAGTACAGAGCTATACAATGCCCAGCATACCAGAGCCAGAAGGGAGCAAAAACTGTCTGAAATTTCTATAACCTTGCTCTGGATGGAGCAGGGCAAGGCCTCAAACCATTTCAAAGCTGTTCTGGCAAGCGCTGTAGGAATGCACAGGGTCACCGCAGACCCAGGCACGCTGGAGGCTTGCTACTCACATTCAGCCAAATCCCCCACATCCCAGGAATCCCAAAGTCCAGGTGAGAACAGTCCATAGAGTTCAATTAGTCAGGATGAGCTTGGTTCCTGAAGCCCACCACTAAGGACAACTCTAAGGGAAAGATCCTTTCTGGCTGAGGGAGTAAGGGAAGGTGTCTTGCAAGAGGTAGGTAAACTTACTATACGAGCTAAACTTCCACATAATTCTGTGACACTCCAACTCTAGTGTAGTGCTTCATTATGCCCACAGAAATATACACATCACACAGATATACAAAAATAGCTTTTTCCCTTCATTTTTCTCATGCATTTCGTAGCTCAGAAAACACTTCTGAACTAGGGTGTAAGTCAGGACACATAAGTAAATTCCATAAGGATTTTTCCCGTGAAATAACGGTTGGAAACAAGTTCCGGGAACGCAGAGCTGTGGGTTCTGACACGTGACTTACCAGGGTATCTTGCAGAAGAGCTGCTGCGACAGTAGGCCCTCCCGCTTTGAGGACCCATCAACTTGGCCACGACTCCCACCTAGAAGTGGACAATACGGTCAGCTCCAGCCTGTGCCTCTGAACCTCACCTAGCTGTAGCCCGGCACACAGCCTGAACCCCTCTACGTCATCTCGAGGTAGGTCTACCCGCGATCTCGTCGCTCCCAGTGAGATCCCTCCAGGTCTCGGTCTCACGTCCCATCCCTTCTCGTGAGGTCCCTCCACATCACACCGCCCATCCCGCCTACTGGGGTCCCTCCAGGTCACGGACAAACACCACTTCTCTTCTGAAAGAGACGCTCAGAAGCACAGCGCGAGTTATACTATAGCCCCCGAGTCTCCTCCGAGAAAAATGTTCTGAACGCGCTCATCTGCCCCTTACAAGGAAGAAGCACGTGTAGGGAAGGTTTGGGCTGCCGGCGCAGCCGGCGCTCCCACTCACTGCGGTCCGGCCTCCCAAGCCGCCTGCCACCGAGCCCTGAGCCCCCCGACCCCTACCTGGGCTCAGGAAAAGGCGACGGAATCCCGGATGGCAGTGGATGACAAAAACACCCAGGAGACAGCCGCCGCGACCATGGAGCACAGGCGTCGCGCGCCTGATGTCATCGCACAGCAGCCCCGCCTCCAAGCCGTGCGCGGGCCCACGTGACCCCGGTCCCGGGCCGGTGACGTCGGCTCGGCTACGGAGGCGTGGCTTCGGACGCTGGCTGGGTCGTGAAGACTGAAGTGGAACTTCTGGGGCCCGGGGCCGGGTGGCGTGTTGGGTCTTCAGGGTGTCCACGCAGTGGAGTTTCCCAACCGCCTTTTGTTACCCGCCCTTAGTGTCCAGGAGGCTGGAGTTACGTAACTACCCAGGATCCCGCAGCTAAGAGGGGCGGAGTAAGACTGAGCCCATACAGCCTGGCCGGGGTGGGGACGCGCTCAGCGGGAGTGCCGGGCCTGACCCGTGCAGCTGCATGGACGGGGCGGGGCGAGACCCCACGTGGACCTGCGGCCTTGGGAGCGAACGGGAGCCTGCCTGTGGGACTAGCACGTGGGAAAGACGACGCAGGTGTTGGACAAATACAACGTAAACACGGGCCCCCAGGCCTTCCCTAAACGTGCAAGGGGCAGTTGAGCGCGTTCGGAGCATTTTCCTCTAGATTTCTTTGAGAATTTCCTTCTTTCTTGGCCGGGCGCGGTGACTCACGCCTATAATCCTAGCACTCTGGGAGGGCGAGGCGGGAGGGTCGCTTGAGGTCAGGGGTTTGAGGTTGCAGTGAGTTATGATGATACCACTACACTCTAGCCTGGCTGGGTAACAGAACGAGACTCTGTCTCAAAAAAAATTTTTTTCTTGCTTCTCTCTTTTTCGAAGGTATGCAAGTCTTTTTTTTTTTATAGCTAAGCAAGCCCATGACCCCTCTCAACTCAGGAATGTTGGTTCAGAGCCATCTCTTTGAAATGTAATTGTCAAGGGATATAAGCCCAATCTTCCAGTTTCCTGGGAGGACCAGGGCCTAACTTGTCACCGGACTGTGAGTTGAAAAACCTACCCTAAGTGATGTTTTGTATGCAGGTAGCTGTATAAAAGAGTGAGTTTGTTTTTGTGATCCCTTTAGCGGGTTGTCCCTGATGTGTATCATTCTGATTTAATGCTTATTCAAGCATTACATTTTCTTTCTCTTCTATCTTTGTGGAGAGGTTTTCTGGGTTAGGAGGAAATTTTGTTTTTATATTCCCTACCACAGGCAGAGGAAAGCATATTGGAAAGTCCTGAGATTGGGAAGGATGTTGTTTGTTGGGGATACAGCTAAGCATTACAGGACTGTAGTGCTCTGAAGGGATCTCGATGAGGAGAGAGAGAGGAGGACTACTCTTCAAGGGTCTTTTTATTTGGGTGTTTTGAGACAGGGTCTTGCTCTGTTGCGAGGGGTAGAGTACAGTGGTGTCGTCATAGCTCACTGCAGCCTCAGTCTGCTGGGCTCAAGGGATCTTCCCGCCTCAGCCTCCTGGGTAGCTGGGACTACAGGCCCATGCCACCATGCCCAGCTACTTTTTCTATTTATTTGTTCATTCAAGGTTTTCCTGTGTTGCTCAGGCTGGTGTTGAGCTCCTGGCCTGTAGTAATCCTGCCCCCACCTCCCAAAGTGCTGGGATTACAGGCGAGTGTCACCATGCCTAGCCCAGGGGTCTTGAATATCAGGCTAGAAAGGCAAGAACTTGGTTCTGTAAGTAAAAAAAAGCAGAGAAGTATTTGAAACTCATATTTTACGTATAGTACCTAATAAATACATTCAGTCACCTTGTGGTACATTGTCAATGGAAAAGAACCCAAACTCTAAAATAATTTAAGGGGCGACCCTGACCCAGAGAGCCATACCCAAGAATCCTTGAGCCAGTGGTCTCAGTGTCGTTGGGATACAGTTTGACTTTAGACATTTCAGGGAGACAGGAATTACATATGAAGTCATAAATCAATACATGGAAGGCATACATTGGTTAGGCCCAAAAAGGCAGGGCATTACAGATTTATAGGTGAGTTTAAAGATTCTTTGATTTGTAATTGGTTAAAGAAACGAAGATTTGTCTAAAGGCTTGGGATGTTTTGAGTTGAGATAAGGAAGTCTGTTCATCAGAGACAAACTACTGGACACATATGGGGCATATACCCAGGCTCAAGTGATCTGTTAAGTAAATTGATGTCTCTAAGAAAAAAAAAGATACAGGGAGATAGCCTTTCTTTTAAAAATGTAAATTTCCCTTTCAGAAGGCTAGCATATGCTGTTTTTATAGCTTCTCTTGTTCCTCAAAATTATCAGCTCAAAATAATCTTTGTGCCAACGAGGCATATTTTGAGGTGGCATATTCTAGTCTTCTGCAGTCATATTTTTGGGTGGCATATTCTGGTCTCCTGCAGTCATATTTTGGGGTGGCATATTCTGGTCTCCTGCAGTCATATTTTGGGGTGGCATATTCTGATCTCCTACATATGTATGCCTGAAAAGAAAATTAGTAGTTTGGCTCTGGAAGAATAAACAGTTACAGCCAAGGAGATGTCAAAGTGGGGCTTGCAAGGTTGTTTTAGCTGGAGGCCGAACAGGGTGGCTATACTTCCGAGGGGTCATTATGATCCAGAGTTGGTTTGGTCCTTTGTGATTTATAGGCTTGGAAACTGGATGTTAAAATTCAATAAGGACGGGCGTGGTGGCTCGCACCTGTAATCCCAGCACTTTGGGAGGCTGAGGTAGGAGGATCACTTGAGGCCATGAGTTCGAGACCAACCTGGGTAACATAATGTGACCCCATTTCTACAAAAAATAAGAAAAATTAGCCAGGTGTGGTGGCCTGTACCTGTAGTCCCAGCTATTGTGGAAGCTGAGGTGGGAGGATTTTGAGGGTGCAGTGATCTATGATGGGGCCATTGCACTCCCGCCTGGGTGACAGAGTGAGACCCTGTCTCTAAAAAAAAAAAAAATTAATAAATAAAATGAATAATAAAATTCACTGAGAATTCACTCTCATCTCTAAAGGGTCTTTCCTTCACTAATAGATTTATCACATGCACAGCAGTGTGAAGCGTTGCATGGCATATGTCAAGGAATAACTCAGAGAGGTCTAGTTATTTACAAGCCAGTTATTTCCCATATTAGGGAGATAGTTGATACAGACTGTCAAGGACAAATAGCTGAGAGGAACAAAAAGGAAAACACTGCAGTTAGCCTCAGGAACAGTGAAAAGATTCAGTTTAAAAAAACCAGTTAGGCCCTGCACGTTGGCTCATACCTGTAATCCCTGCAGTTTGGGACGCCCAGGTGGGAGGCGGGAGAGAGGATCTCGGGATGCTTGGAGTTTGAGACAAGCCTGGTCAACATAGACTCTATCTCTACAAAAAAATTTTTCAATTAGCTGGGTGTGGTGTGGTGTGTACCTGTAGTCCCAGCTGCTCGGGAGACTGAAGCAGGAGGATTCCTTGAGCCCAGGAGTTCAAGGCTGCAGTGAGCTATTATCACACCACCGCACTCTAGCCTGGGTGACAGAGCAAAACCCTGTCTCAAAAAAAAAAAAAAAAAAAAAAGCAAAAAACAAACAAACAAAAAAACCAAACCAAAACAAAAAAACCCCAATTAACTGGAATCTAGCAGATACGTGAATCTGGGAACATTGTCTTTGAGTAGGCCAATTAAGGGTAAACTTTCAGTGTTTAGGGGTTTTCTGAAAACCCAAGGGTCTAACTGGGAAGCTGTGTCCAGGGAATATGCCACCTCAGTCTGGCTAAATGTGCATCATTTCCTTCATTAGAGCTTCTCAGATGCAAGGAGGAATCCCATATAGTCCCTACCTTCAAAGGAACTTACAGCTTAGTGAAGGATATGTCCTAAACTTGGCTAACTGGAGTTATGCAAATAAATTGCTCTGGGGACTGGAGGGAAGAGTTGCATTGAAAGATTTAGTGGAAGAGGTGATTCTTGAGCTGGGTGATAAAGCTCAATAGCTAAATTTCCCAGGAGTGCAAAAAAATTTGGTTTACTAACCTGCTGTGACCAGGGATAGCACCCCAGAGGAAGGTGGGCTGCCTCTCATTATGAGGGATTAGGAAGGGGGTTTTATAAGGTTTAGGCTGGCCCTGAATAACTGAGGAGGGGAGAGGGGAAGTGAGAATTAGCTCTAGATTGTTGCTTTCATGAAGTACAGGCAGTTTGGTAATTGGTTATTTTTGTTCAAGACCTGGGAGCCACACAGCAGGCTAGGGAGGTTATTGGTAAGAAAGCAGTAATCACTCAAAGGTAGGAGGCTTTCAGGACACTTTACAGCCAAGGTGTGACCTTGGGAGAAATACCGTTTTATGTTATCATTGCAGCTGGTCTCACTGGTGTCTGTTAAGAGAGACTGAATATACAGGCAGACAATGGTTGGACCATTTTATACAACTAGAACTCTGACCCACAACCTGCAGCAACCTGCTCAGGAAACCAACTCATTGTCTATTGTAACCAGCCCAGGCAGCCAGCCTGCTATAAGTCAGACTTGCAGGAAGCTAGGTGCTATCTCTAGTGACAAAGCAGGAAGCTAAGCAATACCCCTGTACCAACCGGCCCCAAATGGCCAGGACTTGATTAATAAATGGCACTCTGTCTCTCACTATATACAAAAATCAACTCAAAGTGGATCAAAGACTTAAATGTAAGACCTCAAACTATAAAACTACCAGAAGAAAAGATAGGGGAAATGCTTCAGGACATTGATCTAGGCAAAGATTTTATAGCTAACACTTCAAAAGCACAGGCAACAAAAACAGAAATAGACAAGCGGGACTATATTAATCTAAAAAGCTTCTGCATAGCAAAGGAAACAATCGAAAGAGTAAAGAGATAACCTGTAGAATGGGAGAAGATACTTGCAAACCATCCATTCGACAATTGACTAATATCCAGAATATACAAGGAAATTGAATATGATGATCCTGATTTAAAAAGAAAAAGGAAAATAAATCAGAATATACAAGGAATGCAAAAAACAATAACAACAACAAAAAAACCCCAAACATTAAAAAGTGGGCAAAGAACATGAATAGACATTTCTCAGGAGACATACAAATGGCCAACAGGCATATGAAAAAATACTCAACATCAGTAATCATTGGGGAAATGCAAATCAAAATCACAATGAGATACCATCTCACCCCAGTTAGAATAGCTATTGTCAAAAAAACAAAAAATAATAAATGCTGGCAAGGATGTGGAGAAAAGGAAACTCTTCTACACTTTTGGTGGGAATGTAAATTAGTAGATCCATGTGGAAAACAATACGAAGCTTTCCCCAAAAAACTAAAAATAGAACTACCACAGGATCCAGAAATCCCACTACTGGGTATTTATCCAAAGGAAAGGAAAGGAAATTGGTATCTCAAAGGGATACCTACATCTCTTGTGTTTATTCAGGCACTATTCACAATAGCAAAGATATGTAATCAACCTAAATGTCAATGGATGAATAGATTAAGAAAATGTGGAATATATACACAATGGAATACTATTTGGCCATAAAAAAGAATGAAATCATGTCATTTGCAACAGCATGGTTGGAACTGGAGGTCATTATGTTCAATGAAACAAGCCAGACACAGAAAGACAAATATCACATGTTCTCATTCGTATGTGGGAGCTAAAAAAGTTGATCTCATCGAGGTAGAGTGTGGAAGAATAGAAACGAGAGGATGAAGGGGGTGTGTGGTGTCGGGGGATGAAGAGAGGTTGGTTAGTGCGTACTATCATACACCTAGATACAAGGAATAAGTTCTAATGTTTGATAGCAGAGTAGGGTTACTATAAACCCTACTATAATACATAGACCCACTAGGGTGAAATGTATATTTCAAAATAGATAGAAGTATAAACTGACTTGAGTCTAAGAAAAAAAATAGAAGATTTGAAATGTTCCCAACACAAAGAAATGATAAATATTTGAGGTGGTGGATATCCTAAATACCCTGATTTGATCATTATATATTATTTGCATGTATCAAAATATCACATGTATCCCATAACTATGTACAATTATTATGTACCAGTAAAAAATTAGTAACTGGCAGTTTCCTGAGTTTTTGTCCCTGCTTCTAACTTAGAACTAACCAGAGAAAGCCAAATATGCACCCCTAACCAATCACTTGGCATGTCCCCCTTCAGATTCCCCAAGCCAATAGCCTCTAATCCCGCTAACCAGGCATTCCTGGAAACTTCCCTTTTTCTACTATATCGTTTACCTACTCCTCAGACTGCCGTAGAGTCTCTACCAAATGAAGTGATGGTGGCAGATTCCCTTCTTATAGCCTTCACTTTTCTCAGTTTTGTTTTTTTTTTTATGTTCCAGCGGAACAGCGAATGGAAAAAGACCACTTTTCTCGTTATGTTGTCTTTGTTTATTTCTACGGTTATCATCATCATCTGATCATTAGCAGGTGGATTTTTACTTGAAGCATGAATTTGTGTATGCAGAGAAGAGGCAAAGGTATTCCATCTAATGGGTAGGAACAGCTTGAGGAAGTTGGCGCATCCAGGATCAGGTTAAAGGAAGTTAATAGGTTAATAGGTTGCTTACTGCATTACAGAGTGATAAATGTGGAGAGGTATATTAATGGAAGATTGTGGAAGACCTTAAATATCAGGCCTTGGTTCTGTGAATGGTGAGAGAATAAAGACAACCAAATGCACTGCAGCATTTTTGTGTAGGAATGTGGCAAGCTGGATTATTGCAGAAGGCAGATTGAAAGGGCATTTTCCGGCTGGGCGCGGTGGCTCACGCCTGTAATCCTAGCTCTCTGGGAGGCCGAGGCGGGCAGATTGTTTGAGCTCAGGAGTTTGAAACCAGCCTGAGCAAGAGTGAGACCCCGTCTCTACTAAAATTAGAAAGAAATTAATTGGACAACTAAAAATATATAGAAAAAATTAGCCGGGCATGGTGGTGCATGCCTGTAGTCCCAGCTACTCAGGAGGCTGAGGCAGGAGGATCGCTTGAGCCCAGGAGTTTGAGGTTGCTGTGAGCTAGGCTGACGCCACGGCACTCTAGCCCGGGTAACACAGTGAGACTCTGTCTCAAAAAAAAAAAAGGGCATTTTCCATACCTCTTCTGTGTCTGCCAAAGGGACTGAAATACCTATGCCTTTCGGGAGTGCTAGAGACTGGTTAATTCTTTGGTATTAGTATCAAATAGGGTCTAATCAGGAGACAGAAAAATAGTATAGGAAAAGTTTAATATAAAGAATTATTAAGTATAACATGGGATTAGGGTTAAAAGAGGTTAAAGAAGATAAAAATAAACCAGGTGTGGTGGTGTGCACCTGTAATCCCAGCTACTTGGGAGGCTGAGGTAGGAGCATTGCTTGAGCCCACTAGCTCGAGACCAGCCTGGGCAACATACCAAGACCCTGTATCAATTAAAAAATAAAAGGTGGGGGAGAGAAAGAAGACTAGAATAGTAGATACAAAGAGCAGCTACTATATGAGAGCGGAGGTCAAGCTCCCAAGGAAGAAACCTCCCTCCACCCCCAGGGCTGAGCTACAGACCTTGTTGGAGAGAGGTATTGGGGCACTGAAAATGATTCCACAAAATATGGCACTTTGGCATGCTGAGTGCTTTGAAAATTGAAAGGAGAGACTCTTTCTGGAATTTCTTCATCTGACTAAGAAAGCTTCTTTTGGCCAGGCCAAGGTGGCTCAATCCTGTAGTCCCAGCTACTTGGTAGGTTGAGGGGGGAGGATCACTTGAGCCCAGGAATTTGAGGTTACAGTGAGCTCTGATTGCACCATTGCACTCCAACCTGGAGACAGTAAGACTCTGTCTCAAAAAAAGAAAAAAAGAAAAAAGAAAAAGAAAAAAAGAAAGCTTCTTTCCAAAAGAAATGCAATTGTCTTAAGATTCCCACCCCCCTCCCCCCAAGAAATCTCATCAAATAACTGGGAAAGATCAACCATGGGAGAAGAGAAGAGACTGGGAGTTGTTACCACAACCAGACTGAATTTTCTTCTATTCTGAGGGCAGTTTAGAGAGATTGTCTGGGGGACTCTATCGACATAAGACAATCTTTGTTTCCGTGCTATTCTGCCCCTCACTTTCCCAAAGAGAGTCACTTACATGTTCATTTCTGTCTCCAGGGTGCACTCATTTCCCTGAAAATCATTTGCTCCTACAACTCCCACTTCCCTCTCCCCAGTGAAGAGGATGTTGAAGTATCAACCATCTGGCCCTTTCTTCGAGTGTTCATATTTTGTATGACTCCCATGCACATGTGCGCACGTAATACATTTGTTATGCTTTTCTCTTAAGCTGTTTTTTGTTATAGGGGTGTCGGCTGTGACCCTTTATGATGGAGAGGAAAGATCACCTCCTTTCTGTCCCTACAGGGCATAGACAGGGCTCACTCAATGGCAAAAGATGTGCTGGCAGGACTTGCTGAAAATCTACCCTCTAGGATGCTAGGGAAGTCTACTCATGGGAGGTGTCTTGTGGAAGCACTTGGGTATAAAAACTGCCCCAGGGTTGCTGGAGGAAACTGCTGGCTGCTGGGTGCTTTTGGCAGCCATGCGCTGCAGGAGTTGGGTGCTAAGGAAACCACCCAAGATGCGGAGAACCTGAACCTGGAGAAGCTGCCATTGATGTAGCAGGTGGGCGCCGGGGAGGCCTCTCATTCAATGCCTGCCAAAACAGCTTACTAGAACCAGGTAGAGAAGCCCCTTCCTCGGCGCCGGCTCTCCAGCACCTTCCACTGACAACGCTTAACACTGCCCTCCGGCAAGGGAGGAATGCTTAAAGTGCCCAGCTCCGTGTTCTCAGAGCAGGAGATGAGAAGCGAATGTGGAGCTGAGAGACAATACATAGCCAAACTGAACAATATCCCAAACTTTTTAAATCTCATCTGTAAAACGTGGCAATTATACTAGAATGCCGGTTAAGGGTCTACGGTTTCATTTTGATAGGGCCTGGACACCCTTACTGTTGCGTTTCCACTTTCCTAATGTGTTTGTCCAAGGAAGGTAGGCATTAGAACAGGGAGGATGTCCTAAAAAACGGTTTCCCTGTGGCTGAAAGAATAAAGGGACACCCAAGAGGAAAAGAAAGGAAGTGGTACCGCGACCCGCCCCTCTCGCGTCCCCTCCCCCGACCCCACCTACTTCCCGCCGGTCCCACCCCCCCCTTTCAGGGGCCCGAGCCCGGCCTCCCTGAACGCGAGGCAGGCTGGGAAGTCGGCCGCCCGAAACATGGCGGCAGAATTGAAAAGTTGGAGCAGCTCCCCCGCGCGTCCCCGCGGCCCTGAAGAGGCGGGGAGGTGGGGCGGGGGCGTTTCTGGGCCTCCCGAAGGGCGCGGGACGGGCTGGGGGCGGGGCAAGGCAGGCGCGTTCTCGGCCGCCCCCGAGGCGGGGCCTGCGGTCTGTAGGCGAGCCCTTCGCCGGGAGCCGGTCCCGCGCGCGCCGTCCTCTCTGAGGGGGCGGGGTCTGATTGCAAGGCCAGCTCAGCGCCCTCGGGCCCGGAAGTGCGGATTCGCGACTGCTGTGGGCGGGCCCTGCGTGGGGGCGGGGCCTGCGCGGGGCGGGGCCGGCTCCCTCGGGCCCGGAAGTGCGGGTGCGGGGCGCGGCCCGGGCGGAGACTGCGGGGCCCGGAGGGCGGGCGGCGCCGGGAGCGCGGGGGTGGCGGGCCTGGGGCGAGCATGTAGTGGCTGCTGGCGGCGGGGCTCCCGGGGCGGGCCGGGCGGGCCGCGGGGGTTGCACGCGGCGACATGGAGGAGGAGGGCAAGAAGGGCAAGAAGGTGAGCGTGCGTGGGCGCGTCCTGCTGCGGGGGTTGGAGGGCTGCTGGGTCAGGGGCCCAGGGCGGCCCGGGATGGGGTGGAGCCTGTGGGGGTCTCTCGGGACCCGGGCGGGGGTGGCGGGCGCGGGCAGGGCGGGGCAAGGCGAGACCCCGGACAATGGTCAGGTGGGCCTGAGCGGCCGGACGGGCAGGAAGCGCCGCGCCTTTCCTCGGGCACGGCCGCGGCTCGCCTCGACTTCGGCCCCAGATGGCCTTCCCGGCGCGTCGGGACCGGGGCTGCAGAGGAAGTGGGCCCAGCGAGGGGCCAGAAAGGTGGCCAGGGCTGGAACTGGAGCCAGTGGGCTGTTCGCTTAAAGTGGAGACGTTTGCTGCTCACTTGACTTCGTTCTTGGATATCAAGTAAAAGCAAAGATGGGCTTCACTTCAGTCGTCGAGTATCACTCGTACCTAAAACCATTGAGTGATTTCAGTGACGTTACATTTGGCAGTGGGATTCAGGACATTGTTCAAGAGGCTCTTTCGTTTATGTAGTTTTAAAAATGTGGCTTTAATTACAGGCTAGAGTAGTTGATAACATTTTAAGGAGACTGGAAGAAAGATGTGGAATAAGCTACCATTAAAGTGGAAAATGAGTTTTAATAAAATGTATCCTTTTCAAATAAATGGTTTATAATGTTCATGTCTTGGCTATCATTTTCTTTTTGATAAATGTTTGTGTGCTCACTTGTATGCACAAGTTTAAGACAGCCCTTGGTAAGTCCTAGCTATGATCTTACTACCAGGCATTCTGAGGAGCAGTGTCCTTTAATTGAGGACTACTCATTGTTAGGTCTTTTACAAGGTGCCCCGTTTTTTAACAAGTTCTATCTGAAATCAAATGTAGCCAGGTTGACCTTCAGAGAGTTCTGCGGTGCTGCTTCTCTACTTTCTCAACTCATTATTTTATGTTAGGAACATGCATGTCTAATTTAGGTGCAGTATCACTTGTGGTTAGCTACAAAAATGGTTTAAGGCTAGAAAACAGCTCAAGAAAGTTATTTAGCCTGCAAGTGTTAGACTAGAGAGGAGTGCTGCACACAGAAAAGGGAAGAGCCAAGCTGTCTAAAAGGAGTTAGCTGGAAAGGAGAGGTGCTAACCCAGTGACTGCTTTAACAGGGACCATCAGGCCTGAATGTGGCTGATGCTGAGTTTTGCTGGAACTGAGCCACTGTTTCTGGTGGAATGCTGGGAGCCGAGAGCACTGGGGACTGGTGACCTCAATCTGCACCACTTACGTGGGCACCTGGCCCACCTACCTACCTGTCTGTGACAGGCATCTTCTGAGTCTTCTATCAGCTTTGGTGGAATCATGAAACATTCAGCAATATTGAGAGAAAGAAGCAGTAAGACGTTCCTGAGCTTTCAGAATAAAAGTGAAAAACCAGTAAAACTATCAATAATTTTACAGTTGGGGGCAATGAAAAAATTTAGGCATAGACAAGGTTAATGATTAATTTTATTGTCTTTATGGAAGGAAATAATCAATTGTAGTTGCGTAAGCCAGGGGTTTTTTGTGTTTTTTCTGTATTCTCCCACTTGCCTTGCTCATGTCCTGTAGGCAGGCCAGACAGAGAGCTCTGGAGCATGGATTCCTATCCAGGTCATGACTTTACCTTGCATACTCTGCAATTGCAAGCTGGCAGAACCTTCCTACTTTGCTCCCTCATTTAGTGTGAGGTCACCTCTGAAGAACTTTGGAGCTTAAATCATTCTCGTTATGATAAATTAACTAGAGATACCTGTTTTAAACTTATATACAAATTCAGGCTTACACAGCAGAAGTAATGACTTAATTCTATGAAAGTACAGTTTGGACATTTAAGTTTCAAAGTTACCTCCTTCAAAAAAATGCAGATTTAAACCTTTAAAAATGTGGATTGGTAGGCTTTTTTTAGGCCTCAGATGCTTGTCTTGGTGTCTTATCAAACAGTGATTCTGGCTTGTTCTACCATGGCCCATTTTCCTCAGGACACAGGAATAAGTGAGCCGCCAGAGAACTGATGGACTGAAGTGGATTTAATGGAAAGTAGCCCCAGGTGTAGCCCTGCCTTACCTCAACCCACCCCAGCATATGTGGTTATGGTCACTGTACACCTGGAGTTTCCTTGAGCAGGCCACAGTTCATTTAACACATGTCTATTGAGTGCCTGTTGTGTCCCATGAAACTCGCTGGGTGGTGGGGATATAGGAAGGACTGGTGACCTTGAGGAGCCAATGGGGAGATGGATCAGTGCTGGGTACATGTGGAGGGATGAGTGCATTGACAGAGAAGTCCACTGGCCACTGGAGTTGTGGGACCAGGGGAGTAGAAGTAGCCACTTGGGGGTTGCTCTCTTGCCCTGATGTCCACAGAATGGTACTTTTCAGACTACAAGTCCTGATTTGCAGTTTGGAGAATAAGGCTCCTGTCTACAAAATGGACACATGTTCTATGCATGGTGGCACTGTTCTGTCAAGGTGTAATTCATTTTTGTAAGAAATTTAGGTGTACACTTGAGTTGGATTGTGTGCATTTTTATACTCAGACAAGGATCACAGCTCGAGGAAGTCACCTTGGGGCCTTAACCCTGTTGTGGGTCCCAGCTTCTGCTGCCTCTGGTCTTAGGTCACCCCACCGGATGACTGTGATTTCATCCTGAACAAAGTTAAATATTTTTGCATTGATCTAATTTATTTGCATTGTTTAAATCTAAAAAGGTTATAAGATTCCTTAGAAATGTAGGACTGAAAATTAAATGATAAGAAGGAATTAATTTTGTTTGATGTGATTGTATTATAAATTCTGATCTGATAAACATATGAGGAATTTATAGGCAAAATAATATGATTTCTGGGATTTGCTTTACTCCGAAGGAAAAAAGGAGGGGGGATAGCTGAATGCTTTGATGATGGGTATACATGATTTTGTCCACTTTTGTTCAGTTTTGAGAATTTCCATAATAAGAGGTGGGGAGGAAAAGATTCCCTTGGTCATGGGCTCTGGGCTCTGAGTTATCAGTTCCTGTAGCTGCCAAGTCACCCTTGGGCCCTGTCTGTGAGGAACTGGAAGCTTGGATTGGACCACTGTCTTTTTTTTTTTTTTTTGAGACAGAGTCTCACTCTGTTGCCCGGGTTAGAGTGCCGTGGCATCAGCCTAGCTCACAGCAACCTCAAACTCCTGGGCTCAAGCGATCCTACTGCCTCAGCCTCCCGAGTAGCTGGGACTACAGGCACGTGCCACCATGCCTGGCTAATTTTTTTCTATATATTTTTAGCTGTCCAATTAATTTCTTTCTATTTTTGGTAGAGATGGGGTCTCGCTCTTGCTCAGGCTGGTCTCAAACTCTGAGCTCAAACGATCCACCCGCCTCGGCCTCCCAGAGTGCTAGGATTACAGGCGTGAGCCACCGCGCCTGGCCTGGACCACTGTCTTTTATAGTTTATTCACTGCAGGCCCTAGGAAGCCATATCTTCTCCATGCTGACGTGGTGCAGCTACAAGTGTGTGTGCCTGTGTGTAAACGTCTCTATAACCGAAATGAAAGTTTAAAGGAATGGTACTTAATATGAGCAACACACTCTGATTTTTTTATTCTGGTCTGTTTTTTCTCCCCATTAAATTGCTGGTCATGACCTACTAAATTGAGTCTATAATTATCACCAGCCATAACATGGGTTAAGAAGGTGAATTGGGCCTGCTATACCTTGTTCTATTTTTCCTTGTAGGTAGCAGTCACGGTGATTCTTGGGTGGCAAGTTGGTGACCCAGGGTTGGGAGGTTGGCAGAGACCCTAAGTCAAGTGGCCAGTAGATTAAGGCCAGAATGACCAACAACCTGAGGCTCGGAGAGTTGCCATTTATTAATACATAGTAGCATATATTTATTAATTTTTAACATACAGTAAGATTCTATCATAATTTAGATTGAAAAAGCATATCAGAATCTCCCAGTGCTGCTTTGTTACTGCTCTGAGCATCCTTTCAGAGGAAGATAGTGTAACAGAAAACACTTCTCTCAGTGATAGAACTGCAATGAGGGCTGCTCTGCAGATGAGAAGGGCCGTCAGCATCCTGCCCCATGAGGGCAGGTACTGTTGATCTTCCAGTTTCTTCATTTATGATAGCAATGCTCCCATCTCCTCATCGCTCTGAGGTGTAAATAAACAGCCATGATTAAGTCCTGTAAATCTCACTTCAGCATTTAAATCATCCTCTTTATTTATTCAAGTGCCTCCCACATGCTAGCACAGTGAGAAGAGGGGTAGGAACTGCACTTTGGAAAGTAAGCTGCTCACACCTCAGAGCAGAGATTAAGAGAAGGCAGATGCTAGAGTGTGTCAGAAGAAACAGGGCAGGGTGCAGCCAATTCCAGAGGGGACTGGGACTGTGTCCCAAAGTTCAGAAGCAGAGACGAGGTGGAGACAGCCCCACAGTGCTGGGAGGGCCTTGGCCTGGGGAGTTTGGTGTTGGTCCTGTGTGCACTTGAAGCCGCTGGAAGTGTCTGGCATTCGTCCATTAAACTACTGTTTGTCAGCACGACTGTGACAGGCCCAGATGCTGAGGAGATTGGGATGTGTAGGACAAGCCTATGGCTTCAGAGCTGGGGAGTGGAGCTGCGGACAGAAGTGGGCTTCAAAAAGAGTGACTGGGGATTATGAAAACTTCAAGTACAAACATACAGAAAATCGTGAGATGAAGCCCCCTCTGCACAACTGCAAATACCACCCATGTGTGGGCAGTCAGGTTCATGTGTGCATGTTCTCATCCCTGTTCCCTGCCTGTGTGGGCTGAATGGTGTCTTCCCAAACTCATGTGATGAAGTCCCAACTCCCAGGACCTCATGACATGGCAGTATTTGGAGATGGGGTTTTTATTAATTTATTTATTTACAGATGAGGGTCTCACTGTGTTGTCTAGGCTGGAGGGCAGTGGTTTGATCATAGCTCACTGCAGCCTTCAACTGCTGGGCTCAAGTGATCCTCC